ACCAGTATTAAGTATGACAATTGATTATCGTCATCCACGTTTATATGCTATGTTATCAAATGGTGAGATTGAAAGTTATGCAATTGACTCGAGTCAACCATGGAAAACAAATATTTATCGTTTTAAAGGTAGAATAACAAATAAAATTATTGTTTTTTTTCATTTTTGAAAAACATTTAATAGAAGTAAGACCTTATTCAATTGATCTTCATGATGATACACTTGTTGTTATGGTATATAATGCAAGTGATTCAACTTATGGTGAAATGTGGGTAGAGAAATTTGGAAGAATTGTTACAGATCAATATCGAAAATTTAAAACACCAATGATTGTTCGTTATATACATGAATTCAAATATCCAACAGCGGATATATCAAATAGTAAGTTAAAATATAATCTTTAATCTAATTTAACTCTATTTATATCATATTTAGTGGTTGAACAAGTTTGTTCCGATTCTTCTTGTCTCAATGGTCGCATTTGTATATCAACTCCTTTCTATCGACCACTTTGTATTATTCCAGGAGGTATATTTTTGAAGAAAAACAAATAACTTTAAACTGTTTGTCTTTTTTTGTTTTCTTTTGTAATAGAATTAAATTTATGTGGTTCATCTTGTCATAGTCGTGGCATATGTTCGAATGGTCAATGTATATGTTCCAATCGAACGTACACTGGTGATGATTGTGAAATGTGTCAATTAACAAATTCAATAAATGTTGGTTGTTTTCATATTGAAAATGATTCTCAACCACCATGTATGTGTTATTTATCTCAATCAAAACGTCGACAAACACCTTATCTATGTACAACACTTAAAAATGATCGTGGTGAAATTGGTAAATATATATTTTCATTTTCTTAATTTAATTATTTATTTTTATTTTCGAATTATAGAAGTTCCATGTGATCGTTTTATATCATCAATAAAACGTGATCAATGTTCACGAACATTATTTCTTGAATCATTATGTGAAGAAACAACACACATATTAATGTATCATATTCAAACACAAACTTGTATTTGTAGAGAAATAAATAATAAAACAATAAATTGTTTTAATAATGGCCTTTTAATTATTAATGATATTGATAATTCATCAATATGTTCGTAAGTACATGATATCTAACATAAACTCATTCTAATATTTAAATTAATAATTTTATTTAAAGATGTTCGTTACCATTCACGGGTAATCAATGTGAAGTAAATCTGTGTCAAAATCGTTGTCAAAATAATGGTACATGTACAATAAATGGAAGTAATATTATTTGCAAGTAAGTTATTGGATTTTTTTGTTTTATTATGAATATTTTCAATTTAATTTCTTTAGTTGTCCTAATGGTTTTTATGGTAATCAATGTGAATATAATATATGTCAAAAGACAAATTGCCAAAACAATGGTAAATGTTATATAGAAAATAATCAAGCAATATGCCGGTAAGTTTTACTACATTCGTTAAGACTATAGATTGATTTGTGCATATGTATATCTGTTTAGTTGTCGACAAGGTTTTTCTGGTTCGAATTGTCAGATTAAAATCAGATTTCAATGGCATAGTTGGTTTTTAATTATATGTGCTTGTGGAATATTAATATTTATTGCATATGGTTTTATTCGATATCATTCGAAAATGATACGCTTAAAATATTTATTTGCACATCATCGTCTTCATGAACAAATTGGTTTAGAAACAAATTCAAATAATATGATGTATAGTCATGTACCAACACAAGAAACTAATAATCATGATCGATTATTAGAAGATGTATTAGCTGATGAACTTGAAATATCTGTACCAACAGTATCAATAAATAATTCAAATAATAAAATAGATGATTTTGGTGATGATCCATTTTATGTTGATGAAAAACAACCGATATTTAATGGAGATCATATCAATAGTCGATCGACAAATACAGGAATTTTATGAAAAAAAAAACATTTTCAATTGAATTATTTATTTCACCGGTGTCATTTTTCTTTGCTGTTTTCTTTTGCTTTGTATTGACATTTATTATATATGTATCTAGTCTATTGTGTGGATAAGAAAAAGAAAAAAGAAAGTTCATTTGTTAATTCATTCGAAAACATTTTGTTTTGTGTATTAATTTTGTTTTTATTGTCTTATGATCATACGAATTTATATAAATAATAAACAACATTGAATTGAATTAAAAACGTTTATTATTATATATTTTAAAGTCATTCGAAATGATAATTTCAATATTTACAGACATATCTGAATATTCGTGATTGTTAATTGACATGAGATTTTTATACTAAAATAAAGATTTTAGTATTGCTAAAAGAACAAAAGCTGTGGTGTTTTTACTTACAATGTTACTGTTTCTATTAAAGAGAAATACACATTTTTTTTTCAAATTCGTATAGTTTAAAATATTTTGTAAGCAGTGATATTTGAAAAATTGTTGATACAGGAACAAAATATTCTTAATATATAAGATGAATTTGTTCAACAGCAGATCAAATTATAGTAAAATTAATCAACCATAAAAATAATACTGTTAGTTTTCCTCTTAGATTCACTCGTCTGACTTAGTTTTCTCAAGGACAAGTTATATTCGATTTTATAAAATATCTTCATCCGGTATTATGCTTACATCACAATCTACATTTTAAATATTAATTAAAAAAAAAGAGTCACCTAAATGTGTTCAGTTAAAATTAAAAACATAAGAGTTATGCCTATGATACATCATTTTATATCCATAAAATAATCACAATAAAAACATTAATTATAGTTTATATCACGCTTCAGCCATTAAAAGTGACATCATTACTTGGTATCTTTTTCTCCCAACAAGTAATTGCAACTCTATGTGAAATATATGACGCATGACGAATATGTATTCATTTTATGTAAAGGAAAAAACGACACATTATACCCTCAACATATACAGCGACACAGCACGCATCTGATCAAGAGTCTGCAATGGTGAATCCAACTATCGCCACCTTTCTGGCATTACCGGTAGAGCTTGTCTACCGAATTCTGGATTTGCAATCCGATCTCACCCTGATATGCTCAATGACAAATGTGTGCCAACGATTTAACAGCGTCTTAGATAGCTACGATCGATACAAGGTAAGCTTTTTTCTATCGTGACAGTTTAATTTTTATCTAGTGACTCTAATATTACATCCGTAAATAAACTATCTCTCGCTCAAAACAATTCATTACCTATCCCTTTCTCCACAAACCCATTTCTTTTTTCTATTATGACAGTATGAAAATAGTGTCCTGATAATCGGAAAAAAGTCTCTTTTTCCTAATACAGCTTGATATTTCACGTTTTAAACTAAGCACGATGTCAGAAACAAATGATATTTAGACAAGAACGAAAACACGGATAAAACATTTGTATTTGTTTTTTATGTGTATCAAAACACATTTTCTTATACATGCAGTTTCGCAGATTGAAAATAGTTCTTAAACGCAATTAACGTTCGATGCGGATGGAGACAAGATTGACTCATAACACCATTCTCATTCAATCACATCCCTAACACTAATACTTTGAATGTGAAAAGTTCTCCATCGACATTTTTTGATACCACGTTTCTACATGCATTCATCTTCTATTCATAATCAGTGTGACATTAGAGAATAAATTGATTAACTTTCTACTTTATACAAATCAATGTTGCTTCATGCACTGAACCACATGATGCCACTCAAAGCAGCTACCGAAATCGACGAATATTCTAACCTATACCAATCATACCCACGAACAAAGTCAAGTTCGATAACTCACACAAAATTCTCACGTAAAACACATCTCGAGTCTTACGAATGCACCCAATATCAAACTGTCAGACCAATAATGACAAGAAACTATCTTCTCTCGTATCTGCACGATACTAACAAGCGACGCACCACACTACATTATTCTCTGAGCTATTTACCGCAACACCTTGCACTTTCGATACATAATATCGAGTTTTCTAATTGTCTTACGCGCGGCTACTTTGCATACCTTTGTTAAATAATCCATAAAGTTTCCTCCTTTCACAAATATTTAAAACTGCGGCAACCTATAGATAAAACCTTTCTATGAATACTTCACTTTTGGTAACCTCTTTTCAGTCTAGATTTTCACAACAAACCTATCGAACAATATACACGACACAAAATCCTTCAATTAGTCATATTCTCATTCTAAGATCCAAGAAGGTCGTCAGAAAAACATTCATTTCACTGATAAAACTCCAACTTATACTGATCGACTGTATCCTCTTTACCTATCTCCACCTTTTCTTTACCTACACTCGTTCATTTAGACACTCACTATACTAAATCTCACCGGTCATAAAATCGGAGATGCTGGAGCACAATCTTTGGGTTATGCACTACAACACAATACAGTAACTCTTGTTCTCTCTTCATTTATACCATATCTTTACCAGCACTACTTCATCTAGACACTGGCCACATTAAAACTCGGCTACAATAAAATCGGAGATGTTGGAGCGCAATCTTTGGGTTATGCACTACAATACAATACAGTAACTCTTGTTCTCTCTTCATTTATACCATATCTTTACCAGCACTACTTCATCTAGACACTGGCCACATTAAAACTCGGCTACAATAAAATCGGACATACTGGAGCACAATCTTTGGGTTATGGGATACAAAATAACACAGTAGCTATCATTCCATGTTTATATAAACCATGTCTTTAACTCCCCTTCTTCATCTAGACACTCACCACATTAAAACTGAGCGACAATGAAATCGGAGATGTTGGAGCTCAATTTTTGGGTGATGCATTACAACACAACACCGTAACTCGCATTCTCTCTTTGTCTATACCATGTCTTTAACTACTCTTCTTCCTCTAGACACTCACCACATTAGAACTGGGCGGCAATAAAATCGGCGATGTTGGAGCGCAATCTTTGGGTTATGCACTACAACACAACACAGTAACTCTCATTCTATGTTTATATAAACCATGTCATTAACTCCCCTTCTTCGTCTAGACACTCACCACATTAAATCTCGGCGGCAATAAAATCGGAGATGTTGGAGCACAATTTTTGGGTGATACGATACAACACAACAAAGTGACTCTCATTGTCTCTTTGTCTATATCACCCTCTTTACCTCTACTTATTTATCTAGACACTTACTACCTTAGATCTCACCTATAATGACATCGGAGATGTTGGAGCACAATTTTTGGGTGACGGAATACAACACAACACAGTAACTCTCATTCTATGTTTATACAAACCATGTCTTTAACTTCCCTTCTTCGTCTAGACACTCACCACATTAAATCTCGACGGCAATAAAATCGGAGATGTTGGAGCACAATTTTTGGGTGATGGTATACAACTCAACACAGTAACTCTCATTCTATGTTTATATAAACCATGTCTTTAACTCCTCTTCTTCGTCTAGACACTCACCACATTCAATCTCGGCGGCAATAAAATCGGAGATGTTGGAGCTCAATATTTAGGTGATGGTATACAACACAACACAGTAACTCGCAGTCTCTCTTTGTCTGTACCATGTCTTTACCTCTACTTATTCATCTAGACACTCACCACATTAGAACTGAGCGACAATGAAATCGGAGATGTTGGAGCTCAATCGTTAGGTGATGGCATACAACACAACACAGTAACTCGCAGTCTCTCTTTGTCTGTACTATGTCTTTACCTCTACTTATTCATCTAGACACTCACCACATTAGAACTGAGCGGCAATAAAATCGGCGATGTTGGAGCTCAATCGTTAGGTGATGGCATACAACACAACACAGTAACTCTCATTCTATGTTTATATAAACCATGTCTTTACCTTCCCTCTTCATCTAGACACTCACCACATTAGATCTCGGCTTCAATAAAATCGGAGATGTTGGAGCACAATCTTTGGGTAACGGAATACAACACAACACAGTAACTCTCAGTCTCTCATTGCCTATATCAGGTCTTTACCTCTACTTCTTCATCTAGACACTTACTACCTTAGATCTCACCTATAATGACATCGGAGATGTTGGAGCACAATTTTTGGGTGATGCAATACAACGCAACAAAGTAGCTCTCATCCTCTCTTTGTCTATACCATTTCTTTACCTCGACTTATTCATCTAGACGCTCGTCACATTGAATCTTCGCAAGAATGAAATCGGAGATGTTGGAGCACAATTTTTTGGTGATGGTATACAACTCAACACAGTAACTCTCATTTTATGTTTATATAAACCATGTCTTTATCTCTACTTCTTCATCTAGACACTTACCACCTTAGATCTCAGCAATAATAACATCGGAAATATTGGAGCACAATCTTTATGTGATGCATTACAACACAACATAGTAACTCTCATTCTCTCTTTATCTAGTGTATGTATTTCTCATGATGCTTTCATCTAGACACTCTCCGGACTTTACTTGGGAGGTAAGGCCGTTAAGGGTGATGCGATGTATATGATCGAAGAATTACTGAAACGGAATAAAAACGGAACATAACTGTGAACGGGGCTGATAAATGTTTCTGGATGGTGAATAAATCGCTGAAGATGATCATGCGAGTATTTTTTTTATTATTTGTTGATAGAAACGATAAATAAAACTGCTTTTCTGAAACGTAATATGTGTTGATTTATTAGTTTTTGGTTGGTGGTAGTAGTAATATTTGGTGAGTAGAACTATGGTACTCTCAAAAAAAAAGCTGCTGTAGAACTGTGTGAGGGTGTGTGCAATTCGTGTAAAATAAAGCTGAAGTTTTCTATAACAAGATTAAAACTCTAAAAGGCTCTTTTCAGTAGGGCTTAGCCCAAAAGGAACTTTTTATTATAGTAGCAGAACTCTAAAGGATTGTTCCGAGTGATGACGAACTAGAAATGGTTGCCTTTGGTAATATTAAAACGTTGAGAAGCTCTTTGT